TGACTTGGGTAGGGTTGGCCCTTGCCTCACTTCCTCTTTCCCTACGTTACTTCCTCTCTCAGTGGAAGGTCTATTTCTCACATGGTGCAACACTAAACCGAGGCCTTATCTTCATGGGTTAAACACAAGATTGTTCCGTTCACATTTTTAAGGTGCGCACACAAAACAACTTTGGCATATTTGAAAAAGGCCATAAGACAGCTTGTAAACGGAGGATTCTTTTGCATCTTTAGTTCCTTGGAATACAGCAGAGAAAGACTGGTGTTGGAGCACACCAGGGCAACTACCTGTGACTCTGTTTTTCCCCATCGACTTTCCACAATTGTAATGCTTTTGTTGTTGTTTAGTCGTTTAGTCGTGTCCGACTCTTCGTGACCCCATGGACCAGAGCACGCCAGGCACTCCTGTCTTCCACTGCCTCCGCAGTTTGGTCAGACTCATGCTGGTAGCTTCGAGAACACTGTCCAACTATCTCGCCCTCTGTCGTCCCCTTCTCCTTGTGCCCTCCATCTTTCCCAACATCAGGGTCTTTTCCAGGGAGTCTTCTCTGCTTTGAGAAAGGAAATATCTAGTCTTCATGTTTGACCTGTTATGCAACTCTGCTCACTGGAAGAAAGCATGGCTTTCATTTAATATAGGGAAACCTGCGACCTTTCTTGAGATGTTGGACTTCATCTCCCAGCAGGTCCTGTGGTTGGGGGTGTGAGAGCATCACCAGGAAGGCCACAGGTGCCTGCCCCCCCCCCAGGTTAAAACCTCCCGTGATTCCTTGCTTGTGGCATATTCCACTGTGCCTCACTGCGACAAAGACTGATTCCAGAATGCTTCCCTTGATTTTTCAAATCTTGCAGCCAGGACTGTACAATTTTCTTTCACTGTGTAACAGCAAACAAAAATACTCCTCAGTTTCATCTGGATCCAGTCTGCATTCCAATTCCACAATCAGACAGTGGGTAAAAAACTTAGAATGTAAAGGCTACTTGAGAGAGGCGGCGAAAACCCTTCTTGACTCTGAGATGAAAGTTAACCAGCTGCATCTACAAAGCAACTCTCTCTCTCTCTCTCACCAGAGATTTTCTTCTCTGGTGAAGGCAAAAATGAGTTACTGGCTTTCTTTCATATTCCTCTGGAGATAGCTCAGTAGATAATCTCAGGGTTGTGAGTTTGAGCCCCTCATTGGACAAAAGATTCCTGCATTGCAGGGGGTTGGACTAGATGACCCTCATGGTCCCTTCCAACTCGACTGTCCCTGGGTAGTCAAATGCCAGGTAGCTGCTCCCTCCAGAGTCCTAAAGGAAAGAGGCTTTCACTGCCCCTCCTTCATGTAAAGCATTTTTAGGGGGGAACTTACCTGACGGTAAAACCTCAGCACCTAGGACTTGCCGATCGCATGGTCGGTGGTTCGAATCCCCGTGGCGGGGTGAGCTCCCGTCGTTCGGGTCCCAGCACCTTGCCCACCTAGCAGTTTTGAAAGCACCCTTAAGTGCAAGTAGATAAATAGGGAACCGCTTATCAGCGGGAAGGTAAACAGCGTTTCCGTGTGTGGCTCTGGCTCGCCAGAGCAGCTTCGTCACGCTGGCCACGTGACCCGGAAGTGTCTGCGGACAGCGCTGGCTCCCGGCCTCTAGAGTGAGATGAGCGCACAACCCTAGAGTCTGTCAAGACTGGCCCGTATGGGCAGGGGGTACCTTTACCTTTACCTTACCTGAGGCTCATGCCTGGCAAGAGTGAGAGTCCTTGGAGCAAACTGAAGGTGTGAGTGAAAGTGCTCTCCTCTTCTTCCTCTCAGCTGAGGATCAGCAGCTAGGGTGGGAGATGCTGACTGAGAAACAGGAGCCGGCCAACTAGCAGCACTTCAGGAGGCAAATTGGCTCGGGGTTTCCAAGTGCCTTGAGGACAGCGTTGAAAGGGATGTTCAGAGAGGGGTGGGAAGAGAGAGAGCCAAAGCAAAAAACCTCTGAGGGTATGTGGGACTCGGAAGCACTGGCTGTCTTTACCTGTCCAGGTGAGAGCTGGGAGGGCAGCCTGCCACACGGGAGAGGTGTGGCTTCTGTTCAATACAAAGGTAAAGGGACCCCTGACCATTAGGTCCAGTCGTGGACGACTCTGTGGGGGGATGATCTCGCTTTAATTGGCCTTGGGAGCCAGTGTATAGCTTCCGGGTCATGTGGCCAGCATGACTAAGCTGCTTCTGGCGAACCAGAGCAGCGCACGGAAATGCCATTTACCTTCCCGTCGGAGCGGTACCTATTTATCTACTTGCACTTTGATGTGCTTTCGAACTGCTAGGTTGGCAGGAGCAGGGACCAAGCAACGGGCGCTCATCCCGTTGCAGGGATTCGAACTGCCGACCTTCTGATCAGCAAGTCCTAGGCTCTGTGGTTTAACCCACAGCGCCACCCTCATCTCTCTGTTCAGTATAGTGCTAGCTAATAGTGTGCTTCCGTAGAATGTCCTTTGGCACAGTGACATCACCCCCCCCCCTTGCAGTTTTGTGTACTGCCAGCAGCTTATCTGTATTGTTTGATCAATTTTCCCTAGGGATTGTTTCCTTTTCTCTTAGTCCCATAGGCTAGCCACCTTTCAGGCTGGTGAACTGCATTGGGCTCGATAGATCAGAAGTTGTGCAAATCTGACCCAGAGAACGGAAAAACCTAGCAGCTCCTTCCTTCACCTGGTCCCTGCCAATTCCCAGTTCAGCAGCTGGGGCAGAGAGAAGCTCCTCTGCTCCTTGTCTTCGGGTAGCAAGCAGGGCTGGGAGGAAACGCCTTTTGCGAAGCAAGTCTCAGAACTCTCAGTTGTAGTGTCAGTAACAACCAGAAGATGGTGATCTTACACAGGCTTTTAAAGATGACGCTTTCCTAGCGATCTGGGAAAAACAAGTACAGTATTGGACAGGTAGCAGCCTCTCCAAGTCATGTGGTTTTGGATGGTGATTTTTTGGAACTGTTCCAAATAATTTTGAGAAAGCAACAGGTTTTCTTTCCCGGTAGTTGATTAACATCAGGGCAGGGGGAATGCTCCCCTGGACTTCCTAGAGGGTTTTTAGTCCCACTGTATTCTTCTGGATCAGTTGCGTAGGTTGGGCTTACAAGACAGATTTTCAGTGACTCCAGTAGCTGGATGGTATCTTCAGAAGGTACTGCTGTGGGACACTGTTCCCACCCCATGGCCATTGGCTTAAGGCAGGGTAGGCAACCTAAGGCCCAAGGACCGGATGCGACCCAATCGCCTTCTAATCCAGCCCACGGACAGTCCGGGAATCAGCATGTTTTTACATGAGTAGAATGTGTCCTTTTATTTAAAACGCATCTCTGGGTTATTTGTGAATGAGCTGAGGTTAAATTCAGAGAAGTTGTAGGTTGGGAGATTGTTTGCTCCATAAAGTGGCTTACAGTTGATCTTAGTTTGGATTGCTTCAAATATTTAAATATTTGCTATCTTACTCTTGAGCCAAAAAAGGCTTCAAGTGTTGCCATATAGATTATT